CTCTCCCACGCAAAACCAACCCTGCCCAAACACAAGTATCTCCTTAGTATAATTTGGGAGGCGCTGCAGAATGATATCCTCCTCCCCAAACTCCACCTCAATTGCTTTCCTTGTAAGAAAAGGCGGGAATGGGGGGGAGGGGGGGCTAGCGGGGTGGTAAGAACGATCTGCTTGTCCCTCTGCCTGAGGTGTGGATAGCCAATTTGGGAACCCTTCCTGGGGATGAGTTTGAGAAGGACTGAAAGAGACTTCCTGAAACTTTGAAGGCAGTCCAGGGCTGCCAAAGTATGCTGAGGGCGAAGCTGAGCCCCTCACCTGATTGTGAATTAAACCAAAATAGGTGTTTGCTGACAGCTCTAGTGGCCCGGCCTCTAAGGAATTGGGCTGCTAAACCAAAGGCTATGCCTCTCAGGTGGTTCGAGACCACCACAGGAGAAAGATGGGCAACTTCCTCCTGTGAAATATACAGCCTCCAAAAACCCACTGGAGGGACAGCTTTCAGTTGGTTTAAACTCCATGGTAATGAAAGAGAACGAATTATCTGCCTATCTCAAATAGACTCGAAATCAAATAGTCAAGGACTTGTAACCAAGAGAGGCATAATCGCAGGGGTAGGGGGATAAAATGTTCCCAACTTGAAAGTCAGCTTCACTCCCAGCATACTTGACTTTGGCAGCCCTGGACTCCTCTTTCTCAAAGGGAGAAAAAAGTTCCAGAAATTGCTAAGGCTTCTCTGTCCTGAGAAAAGGGGATCTTTGGAAAGGGTCCGCTCTCCACATCAACCTCTCCAGGTTCGCCTGGAGTCACCAACTCTGAAAAGCAGAAGTGAGGAAACCATTTCCTTCACCTCCAAACCCTCTCCCTCCTGCAAGTGGCCGAACGCCCAGGGTCCCCTGGCGGGGGAGACTCACCGCGCAGCGCCGGGGTGGCCATGGCGCGGGCGCACGGGACGCGAAACCCGGTCTCGCCGGCGGCTGCGCTCGCGTCTGGACAGGCTTATTCTGCCGCGGGGCTAATTCCATCGCGGCTCAGCTCGGTCTGGCGCGCCCGCCCCTCGCCTGCCGCCGCCTCCTCCCCCATCGCTGCCCAGGCCACGGCCCCCAGCTCTCCCCGGCGCCCTGGGGGCCCTGGCACGGGCGGCGGGGCGTCGAGAAAGGGGCGCGTTCCCGCAGTCGGGTCAAGTCCAGGACACGCTCGGGTTAATGAAGCTGAGGGGCGAGACAGAACGTGCGCCCGGCTCTCCTAGACCCCGGGAGGCGCCTCACAGCCGGGTTCCGGCGTGAAAATTTCAATCGGATTATCTCGTGAGCCGGCTGGTTGATTTCTTTCCAATCCCACTAGCAAAGCCTTCTTCTCGCCTCCCCAAAGGGCCTTCCACTGTCCAAGAGCTAGCTTCTTCCTACACCTGCTCTCACATCCCCTCACCGCCAGCTGCCCCTCACCTTTCTCAGGATCAAGCAGGAAGAAGCGGCATGGGAGGGGGTAGGTGCACCGGAGACAGGAAGGGCAGAAAGGGGGACTGTGCCAGGCAGGAGGAAGGGGAGTTAAAAGAGCCTCCTTTTGTGATGATAAAATGAGAAGGGGGATTGAGGAAGTAGTTAATGCAAGTTCCATTCTAGAAGGAGCTGTCTAAGCAGAACAGTTTAAGCAGAATGAAGAGAAGACCTCCAGAAACCAACCCACTTGAGATGCTGGCAATACAATTAATTCCAGGATGGCCACAAGTAAATTCATGAATACCCAGAATTCAGGATGTGTTTTATGTTGTTATGTTATGTTATGTTATGTTATGTTATGTTATGTTATGTTATGTTATGTTATGGTCAAGCTCATACTGCTATGATCACTGACTTTCAGTGGGGAAAATTTTATCTCCATATAAAATAATACAATCTGAAGATAATGTCTCCCCATTTTATAGCTGAAGAACCCAAGTGTGTGACATCCAAGGGTCGAGCAAAAGGAAAACCAGAAGTACTGTATCCCCACCCTGGGCTTTATTCTACTTACTAAGAGTAATTAATAATGACTAAGGTGTAGACAGAACTCTTCTCAGTGCTTTACCCTACTAATTACTTTAATCCTCACAATCATTTCATAAGGTGATTACTGCTAGTGTGTCCATTTTACAGATGAGAAGTTTCCAGTGTAAAAGAGGAAGTCATTTGCCCCTAAGAGGGAAAGCCAGGATCCCAAAGTAAGTAACCTGTTCTTGAACTCTGTGCTCAAAATCCTTTACACAAACCTCTTTTCCCAAACAATGCCTGTCTTTCCCTGTTCCCTTTGGGGCTTTTCTCCATGTCTCCTCAGTTTCCAAGTCTTTTTCAAAATTCCCACCACTACTTTTTTTTTTTCTCTCCCTCAAACACTTTCTCCCCACATCAGACGGGAACCCCCTTCAGCTGTTGCTTTGTGGAACTCTGTCTCAACTGTTTTGAGGGGAAGCAAAGAGAAGATCATTGAGACCAGAGGCCCACCCTGCCCTTGCAATCACTGCAAAGTGAGAGAAAGCTCCTGAGAGACAGCTCCCATGATTTTCTTTTTGTTCTCTCCCAATTTCTTAATAAAAACATCCCGTTTTCTTGACAGTAAGATCAGCAAATACGAAGAGAACAACAGACTATCAAGATACTGGCTCCTAGAAAACTGACAATTTATGCTGAAGCTGTGGCCTCCCTGCTGAGTGGCTCTGTGGCCCCTGCCTCCAATAACACCTTGTCCCCAGGTAGAGTGTTAGGTGATCAGTCAGAAGAGAGACAGTTAATTCCCTGTCCCTGGATCTGGTTTCTGCCTGCAGAGACCTTAGAGGCTACTCGAAGTTGGGGGCAGGGTGATGGATGGAGAGATGACAACCTTTGAATTATTGAGCAGTTATATAAAACTTCTATCCATTCTTTCTTCTCTCTAGCCCACTGAATGATGTACCAAATCTACTCAATATTACCTAGGTCATTTCCCTGTAATTTTTGTCTCTTGAGGTTAATCCCAGTCAGTAAAAAAACTGGATGAGACCTGGAAATGCAACGGTCACCAGATTCCATGTCTGCAAGGAAAAAATCTATAAGCAAAAGAGACTGTGGAAGAGTAGCCTGGGAGTTCTGGTAGGAGTCAAGGCATCTGAGTTTTGAACCTAGCCTGGCCAGGCAGGAACTGTGTAGTCCTATGAAGTCACCCTAGCTCTCTGAGCTGCTTTTACCATCTATACTGTGATGAGGGGATGGAAAGGATAATAAACTAAATAAGGTCTAAATCCTTTCCAGGGAGCTCTGGTGGATGGCCTAGTGGCAAGAAACTGGCATGCAGTTCAAATCCACCAACTGTTCCATGGGAGAAGGTTGACCAGTCTCCTGTGCCATTTACTGCCTCTGAAAACCTGCTGGAGGGTCAGCTATGAGTCAGCTCTGACTCAAAGGCAAACAAGAACAACAAATCCTTCCCAGCAACATCAGCCAGTACTTCCAATGAGCTGACCCTCCTCTGTGTTAAAAGGGTCAGGAAATCACCATCAACTTCTTGTCGCACATCACATTTCCTTCAATTCCATGGGTGTTCTCTTCCACACTGTGTGTCTCCATCAACTTGCCAGCATACACATGGATTCTTTTCCACATATTTTAAGGAAGGATAATCTCTTGTTGAGAGTGACAGTACCAGTTAGTGATCTGAGGACCTGCGGATGTTTGGTGTTGTCAACCCCATCTGCTTTTACCAGGGAATGTCTAGGGTGGTAGAGCTTTGACATCCAGCATAAAGCATCTAACAACCTCAACCTTTTCACCCCTTGTTGCTATTATGTATTGTTGTGTTGGAACCAACTCATAACCGACCATCCAGTGGGTTTTCAGAGGTAGTTAATAGCACAGGAGGAAACTGTCCATCTTTCTCTCTCAGAGCAGCTGGTGGATTTGTGGGTCTTTAGGGTGGCAGCTCACTGCCTTCCTACTAAGCCACTAGCACTCCCACCTCAGGCTGGAGGAAATCCCTCACGCACTGCCCACGACTTACTTAGTTCCTCCTAGTAAGTACTTAATAAATACCAGTAAACAAAACTTTGAGGCGCAGGGGAAGGCATGGATAAGACCAACATTCCTATCTTCCAGATGAGGAAATTGAGTCTTGGAAACTTTGAGGGTTGTCTGAAGCCACACAACTGAGCAAAGGCCATGTGTGGAGCCTGGGTTGGCTCCACATCTGGGGGTCACTGTGTCATGGAGAGTCTATAGGGAATCCCATTCTTGCCCCTACTAATGCCACATTGCCCTGCCAAAGCAAAGATGCTCTGCAGGAAGATGGGTAGTCTCCCCGCAAGCAATTTACAGCTTCTGAAAGCCCACTAGTGGGTCAGCTATGCATCTGTTCTGACTCCATGGCACAGAACAACAACAAGGTTCCCCGTGGTCTTCAACCTTACTCTCTACTACCCCCACTGCGACCACTGAGGGGGCATGGGAACTTTGTCAGTCAAGGCTCAGTGAAATCCTTGCATCTATTGTCAAACGCTTCCTCCAGGCCAGCCATGCTGATGACAGATAGTTGAATCCACCCTGGCAGGAATCAGCTCTCCCCTATCCACCCTCTACAATGTTCAGAAAGACCTGATTCAGAAGCTTGGCAACCTGGTGCTCCTGAGCAAGTCCCTTTTATTACAGGGCACTGGGCTGAGTTTCCTGAGGAGATTTGTTCCCCCTCTCTATCCCCTGGGGCACCACAAACAAACAAATGAAAATAGGGGCAAGACATTGTACTCCCCCACCCCAACCCCAGCAATCAGCAGTGCCCACCTACAGACCCTGAAGCTGGAGTGTGTTTTCCTTCCCACCTTCCCCTCAGCCTACAGTTGCCATTTCAGCCTGTTAGACACAGCAAGCCATCAGCCTTTTGCAAGATGAGAGATTGGCCTTTATTGTGGGCCCAGCAGGGCGCAAGAGCAGCACAGGCTGAGGACTGCGTGGCACGCTGGTCATCGCTGGGCCAGCCAAGGAGGCAGCAGCTGTTCAGCCTCACTTGCTGCACTTCCTGGGGGAGCACTTGCACTGCTTGGCATTGAGGACCGTGTGGTACACAGTGGAGCCATTGACGCAGTGCAGGGGCACCTGCATGGGCTCAGTCAGCGTCGGAGAGCAGCAGGAGCACAGGTCCTGCACATCCTCGGTGTCGATGGAGTACACAGCTTTGCTGGTGCATTTACCCTGTAACAGAGCAGAGGGGCAGGAGCGCATCTCGATTAAAATCCTCAGTGCAGAGGGCTCTGGGGTAGCCAGCTTCCTACCTCCACTTCCGGGCATGACAGCCCTTGCCTTGTCTAGAGGAACCGGAAGAGCTATGCAACATGGAGTGTAAAAAGGCAGAGTGCAGAGCCTTCCAGAATCTCCTCTCACTTTCTGCCTGTCTGTCTTTATGAGAATTGGTGGTACATGCTCAGTCATCAGCCTAAACCCACACAGAAGCACCTCAGAGACAAGCTTGGCTTTAATTCTAAAAGGTCACAGCCTTGAAAACTTTCTGGAGCCATTCTCCTCCACACACGGAATCAGTGTGAGTCTGAATTGCGACAACAGCTAACTACAGCAACATGGAAATATCCCATACAAAACCCTCTAGCTGAATTTACATGCTTGTTTGATCGCTAGTCAGGAAATGTAGCCCCCGTCTTTCATAATAATGTCCCTTGTCTATATGAGACTTGCCCAGCTCTTTACTCCTCCATATTTTCTTCTGGAATCTAAAGTTCCCAGTTACTTCAGTAAAACATTTACTTAAAAAAAAAAACAAAAAAAAACAAACCTTCTAGCTCTTTTCACCCATCATTCTCCTGACTCTTTTAGAGCACAACCAAAGAGATATGTCCAATACGTCCACTCTGCCTCAGGCCTCACTGACACCAGGACCTCTTACCTGACAGTAATGAATGTTCACTTCCTCTTGGGACTTACAGTCTCCCACTTTGACATACTTCAGTCTAGCAATGATGTCTTTGCATTCAGGCTCCTCACCTACAAGACAGATGTAGGACATGGGTCTTTATGGGGTTTGGTAGAGAACTTTTCAGCCCCAGTCCCCTCTCTGGGCTAGAAATAGGTCAATTTCACAGTAAACTAATAAGAAGGCCAGTCACATTGGAGAGGAATTAAGTTATCCTGGTTCACTTCGGATGTTCCTGGTCCTTTTTATTCAGAGGGATAGTTTTTGCTGAGTTTAACTCACTTAATGCTCTAATTTTACTTAATGGAGGACTCCAGATTCTGTGTTTTGGTGATATAGATGTATGAGACTTGCTTTTATATGATTGTAGACTCTAAGAGACACAATGGCCAGGACAATCCTCTCCTGCTTCCAGCTACATCCAGAAGTTAATGGACCAACAAATATACTAATGAATATCTATCTAACCCTGCCTTTGAGTGCTACAGTCATTGGACAATCACTGCCTCTGTGGGGGCTGAGAAGGACCCCTAAGAGGCCTGTGGAGTCCTTCCTTGGATAGTACTGTCTTCAAATCACAGACCTGGGTTTCCTTCCACACTAGAGTTGGTGATGTTCAGATCAGCATCTCTACTTGTCCCACTGAGAATTCTAAGAATTCTAAGATTTTAAGCCAGCTCACCATTTCCATGTGAGCAGTGGGAGTTTTCCATTCTTGCCTGGCTCTAAATCCAAATCAATCCTAACTATATATTAGCCCACCTCCAAACTTCCGAATAACTCCATTTTAAAAGCAAAGCCTGCTAACTGCACTAAAAGGATGAAGGCAAAGATATTCATTCAGGCCAAAACACTATACTCTTTTTCTGTAGATGTAAATCTCTGGGCCTGATTTCTTTTCTCTACAAAGGATCTTAAAGTCTCCTGAATGCATAGATCAACAAAGGCCTCTTACTGCTGGCTTTTCAGATAACAGCCCCTCAGCCAAATCCCATGCGTGGTTTGCCTACAGAGAATTCACCTTCTCTTGTGGTTCCCTGATTTCACAGTCTTAACCCACTCACATGGGGATAATAGAAAGAGATGCTTTTTTCAGTACATTTCTCAATCTGAGATTTGGCTACTGCAATTACAAGGGCTGTCAGAGGAAGCCATCAGGGAGAGAATGAATGACTGAACACCGAAGGCAATCAGGTTTTCACTATTCCCTTCCTGTGGGGAAAATTAGTACAAGCCTCCGAACTTGATAGCAAAGATTAAAAAAAAAAAAAAAAAAAGAATAAATTAGCCCAGGAAAGTAATTCTTTATTTATAAAACAAGGCTTTAACACTGAGATTCTGAAAGGGTTTTTTTGGGCAGCAGTTTTGTATGGTGGGAACACTATCCGATGAGCAAACCTGTTGAACATCATCTCCCAGAACCTTGTGGGCTATTAGGACCAACCCATATAAACATACCTGCAACCTCGAGAAAGGCTGAGAATAAACATGGAACGTCAGTACACTTGGACCAGCATCATGAGCCTGGGAGAGGGGCCTATGCTCTCTGCAGCCCCCACAGCTTCTCTTTTCTCTCCAAAAAGGGCGGAATGATCCATAATGACCAAATGTTTTTTGAGTGTCCCCTTGGTTTAGACCATGGACTAAAGATGCCTGTCCTTAAGGACCCTACACTCAGGTTGGAAAGAGAAGATTCTCTCATGCTATATACAGAAGCTTCTATGAAGGCATAGGCATATAATAAAGGAGGCTAGAGACAATAAGGACTTTGAGGAGGATCAAAGGTATTAAGGGATTGATTTATGGTCATTTGAGAGGAGAATTGAGCAGGGGACAGAGTTAGTGTTAAAGAAGGGAGGTTTTTCACTACAGATGTGAATGAGGTGACTGTCCCGTGAGCAAGAAGTGATCTTTCTGGAATAAATCTTGTTCCCCAAAACAATCCCTAGGTTTCAAGGGACAGGCTATTGGTAATGTACTTACAAGTGTCACAGCAGGTGCCTGGAATTTTTGTGATTTTCCCCTAAGAAAATAATAAAGTCTTAGATTAGGCACAAACCAGACCTAGCGAACAGTTTTCAGATTATTTTGAGTCAGTTGTTGTGTCTGGATCCACCTTCCCTGGACTTATCAGATGCAAACTATGCTTTCCCATCACAAATGTGAGCGGGCTGAGGACTCCACCTGACCACGACCAAACAACTGTAACTATGATGAGTTCTCTCCACACTGAACAGGATCACCAGTCCCAGTGGAGTCTGGAAATTAATGCAATCACACTTTCTTCATAAGGATCACAGATACAGTCTCCCAAGGGAAAGACTTTGAAAGATCTTGCATATACTGCAGGGACTGTGTGTCTCCATCAGACTGTAATTTTGTAATTTCATCTATTTTTCAACTGAGTCACTGATCTCCCTTGGGCACAAGCTGAGTTGCTTGACCTTCAGAACAGGTCTCTGTTCACAGAGTCAAAGATTCATACAGTCAAGAAGAAAGCAGAGCCTGAACTCAGCTACTTACTCCCTCGGCTAGACATTTGTGCTCATCAAAGGGTGGGCAGCCCGTGACTCTCTTCTCCCAGATGTACTCTCCTCTGTCATTGACTTTGCAGAAGTGATTATCACAGCCATCCTGCAGTGTCTCATCACGCTGAAAGGAAAGACAGGAAGTGGGAGAACAAATCTGAAGACCATGTTTGGGCTACAAAACCCCTCCAAACACTGCCTCTGATGCCTGGTCCTCTGGGAGATTATGGAGTGAGAATGAGAAAGGATACAAAAAGTCTCCAAGCCTACAACAGAGAAAGGATGTGGAATTCCAGTTTTATTACCTACTCACTCTAATAGAAAACCAGTGGTTTTAGTGGCTGTAGAGTTAACCCCAGTTCACAGAGAACACATGAACTGTGGTCCATAGTGGCTGATTTGGGGCCATTAGATCAACAGGCCCTTTTTTTCTTGAAATGCCCCTGAGTGGACTCAAACCTATAGCCTTTCAGTTGATGGCCAAGTACATTAACCATTTGTGCCACCCAGTATCTCCTTACTATGAGGAAGGCTGCTAAAAAAAATCACCAGATTGAGAGATGGAGAGAGGAAAATGACTAACTGGTAACTGAATTGATAAGATAAGCCAGGACCACGAGCTAATTCTGCCTTTTATCAGACATGGTTTTGTCTTAATTTCCCCTCCAGTCTCAAGGCTGAAGAAAAACATTAAACCAACTCCAAATTTGAGGCCATGTACAAACTATATGCTTGTTAAAAACAATTCAAGTGTTAAAGCTGGAGCTTCTATAAGGCATTGCTATTTCCTTTTTCTCTCTATAAGACCACCGGGTAAAAAAAGTGGAAAAGAAGCCAGTATTGAACCAACTTCATACTTCACTCTGTGGTATAAAAATAGATAAATAACTAACTATAATCCAAAGATAAGAAACCAGGCTTGGTATGTGAAGAACTCTTGAGTTCAGCTTGTTCTCACCTGCAGAGTCACGATTTCTCCTCCTCTCAGCTGAATGGTACAAGCCATTGGCAGACATCTCCCACAACATTCACCCTGGGCCTTCTCCTCCTTGTAACCCTGTATTTGGGAAGAAAAGCCACCAGAGCTGACCTCTTCAGAATATTCCAGTCAAAAGCTGATTTACTTGGCTGGTTTCTCCATTGCCTCCACCCAAGTTTCACCCAGAACTCAGAAAGCAAATTCCAAATTTAACTCGTGCTAATTCATAATCTCTGTCTTGGAGAAAATAGAACCAAGGTGTTTCTTGAGGCAAGGATGGTGAAGCTTCATCTAACATTCTTTGGGCATGGTGTTAGGTGGAGCTGATCTGTAGAAAAAGGCATTGTGCTTGGAAAGGTGAAAGGTGAGAGTAAGAGAGGAAAACCCACAAGGTGAACTGATGCAGTAACAGTATCAGTGGGTCGAGTGTATCAGAGCTGTTGGGAACAGCACAGGAGAGGGTCTTTGGGAGTCATATTCAACAGCATCTGACAACAACTTCTCTCTTTCCCTCCATAGATGCACATTTCACTTAAATTCTAGCAGTCAGGCTGATTAAATTAAAATCCTCCCCAAGCTTCATACTTTCACATTACATTACATTTCACATTACATTTTTTTAATCCTCTTGTCGTCTTAAAACATAACATATACAAAACGAATCTTGACCTTTGCCCCATCTCTCACCCATCTCTAATCTCTTACCTTGGTGAAAGGTGCCAATCCCTGGTTGCTCAGATTAGGAATCTGGGAGTCATCCTTGACTCTTTCCTTTTTCTCATCCTCCTAACTCATCAGCAAATCTTGCAAACAGTAGATTTCGAATACATTGCTAGTTCTCACCAGTATCCTCTGCCATCATTTATCTGGATCTTCAGAATACTCTTAATTTGTTTTCTTACCTACATTCTCTTGATTGTTCTAATGCAAAACTTATACTTGGACCAGGAGGCAGTCGTCAGAACAGAGCAAGGGAACACTACATGGTTCAAAATGGGGAAGGGCATACACCAGGGATGCATCCTATCTCCATACCTTTTCAACCTATATGCAGAACAGATTATCCGGGAGGCTGGGCTCTATGAGGAGAAATGTGGAGTCAAGATTGGTGGACGATTTATCAACAATCTGTGTTATGCGGATGACACAACCCTGCTTGCTGAAACTGAGGAGGACCTGAAGTGCCTGCTGCAGAGTGTCAAGGACTGCAGCCTACAATATGGATTGAGGCTCAATGTCAAGAAGACAAAGATTCTCACCACTGGACCAATTGGCAGCATCAGGATGGATGGTGAAGAGATTGAGATTGTACACAGCTTTAGTTTGCTTGGCTCCATAGTCAACAGTCTTGGCACCAGCAGCCAGGAAATTAAAAGGCGCATTGCCATGGGAAAGTCTGCTGTTAGAGACCTCTCCAAAGTGCTGAAGAGCAGTGGTGTCTCTCTGGAGACTAAGGTGTGTCTGATACAGGCCATGGTCTTCGCAATCACCTGTTATGCATCAGAGAGTTGGACAATGACCAAGGAGGATAGAAGGAGAATTGATGCCTTTGAGCTGTGGTGCTGGAGAAGAGTATTGAGAATACCATGGACTGCTAGGAAAACAAACAGATTCGTCCTGGAAAGGGTTAAACCGGGTGGCTCCTTGGAGGCAAGGATTCTGAGGCTCTGTCTAACTTACTTTGGACATGTAGTGAGGAGAGACCGGTCCTTAGAGAGGGACATCATGCTTGGGAGGGTGGAGGGACGGTGCAGGAGAGGAAGGCCCTCTATGAGGTGGATTGATTCAGTGACTGGGATAATTGGGATGGGAGTGTCAGAGACAGTGCGATTGGCACAGGACAGAGCGGAGTTTAGGGCTGTTGTACATAGGGTCTCTATGAGTCGCAGGCGAGTCGACGGCACATAACAACACAACAACAACCTACATTCTTGCCCCCTTACTGAAAGTCTCCTTGCAGCTGCTACAATGATCTTAAAATACAAATCTTGTCACTTCTCTACTTAAAAATCATAAAAGGAATCCCAGTTATGGGGATAACAAAATAGCTTGTTTTGAACTGATAATTAGAAACACCTAAAAATATTGAAGACAGCTGTTTGAAGGCATTGGAGAACAACCAAAAAGAAGCTATTCAATCCTTGAAAGAGGGAACAGTAATGGTAACTGAAAATACCATTATTTAGGTCAGGCACACTGTAGGCTTCAAACTGGCATCCTTGTTCTTCATTGCTTTGGAGAGGACTGTGACAGAAGGTTTTCACTAATACAACACACTTTTTTCATGTTTTTGACTGCTGTTATTATGGGCATTGATTGTTGATTCAGGTTAAATTAAATTGATGGCAACGTCAGTCTTTTCTCCATCTATCATGATGCTTTCTACTTGCCCAGAGGTGAGAAAATTTTTTGTCATTTGCATAGTGCAGGTTGTTGATGAGTCTTCATCCAAATCTGATGTCACAAAAATGTTCTCCTTCATTTAGTCCAGCTTCTCCAATGATTTGCTCAGCATGCAGACTGAATAGGTACAGAGAAAGTATACAACCCTGATACACAACTTTCCTGATTTTAAACCAGTGTTTAAAATCTCTCATTCTGTGCAGACAACAGCTTCTTGGTCTAAATTATAGATTTTGCATGAGTACAATTAAGTGTTCTGGGGATTCTCATTCTTCTCAATGTTAACCGTGATTTGTGATGATCCACAGAATCGTAAAATACAAATATCCTTCTGTTATTATTACTCATTTTCAGGCAAGATCCATCAGACATCAGCAATGATATCACTTATTCCACATAATATCATTAATACCAAATGCAAGTAAAATCCTGTTAAATTATTCAAAACTTGCTGGAACAAACATCAACAGGGATATTCTGGATTTTCAAGCTTGATTCAGAAGATGTCATGGAATGAAGGATTCCCTCTGTTGTTGTTGTTATGGTTTTGTGCCATCAAGTCACTTGCGATTCGTAGTGACTCTATGTACAATAGTTCTGAACCCTGCTCTATCTTGAGCCAACCTTATTGCCTCTGACACACCTATCCCCGTTAGCCCAGTCACTAAGTCAATCCATCTCATCCAGGGTCTTCCTCTCCTGTGCTGCCCCTCCACCTTTCCAAGTATGATATCCTTCTACAAGGAGTGTTTGCTCCTTGCAACATGCCCAAAGTGTGTCAGATGGAATGTCAAAATCCGTGCCTCCAAGGAGCAGTGTGGATTCACGCTCTCCAGGATAAACCTGTTTGTTCTCCTTGCAGCCCATGGTATATTCAATATTCTTCTCCAGCACCACAGCTCAAAGGCATCAATTCTTTTTCTTATCATCCTTAGTCGTTGTCTAGCTCTCTGATGCATAGTAACTAACTGTGAAGACCATGGCCTGCATCAGGCTCACCTTAGCCTCCAGACTAATGTCGCTGCTCTTCAGTACTCTGGAGAGGTCCCTGACAGCAGTCCTGGTTATTGATACCAAGAATGTTGCTTGTGGAGCCAAGCAAACTGAAGCTGTTAACCTCAATCTCTTCACCATCTATCATGATGCGGCCAACTGGCCCAGTGGTAAGAATCTTTGTTTTCTTGATTTTGAACTTCAATCCATATTGAAGGCTGTAGTCCTTGACCTTTTACAGCAAATGCCTCATGTCCTCCTCAGTTTTGCCAAGCAAAGTTGTGTCATCTGCATAATTCCCTCTATAACCAAGGAAATACTAGAATAGACCCAATTCACTGAAGTTTTAAAACTAAGACTCCTTTAGCTCAAGGCAAGCAGACAATAATTTAACTTCTTGCTAGAATCAAATTCAGAGAAGGAAGACAGTAGTTCAAGATCTCTTCAATGCATTCACAATGCTTAATACATAGTACCACGGTTCAAAACCACCTGCTGCTCCAAGAAGGAAAAATAGGCGATCTCCTCCCATGTGATTTACTGCCTCTGAAAACCCTCTGGAGAATCAGTTATGGGTCTGTTTTCAACTTGACAGCACATAACAACAGCAATGTTATCAACATATAACAGATGATAATGTATGATGTAACAGTTGCTGTTGTTGTGTACCATAGAGTCAGAACCAACTCACAGCTGAGCCTCTGGTGGGTTTTCAGAGGTAGTTAATCACATGAGTGGAGATTGCCCATCCTTTGCCTGTGGAGCAGCTGGTGGCCTTGAACCTGGTGCCTTCAAGATTTCTGTGTAGCTTCTTGCCACTAGGCCACCAGAGCTAGGTATCAAAGAAATGGGAAAAGTTGCTCAACATCAAAACAAAACAAAAAAAAAACCCAAACAAAATAAGTCACTTAATACAAAGACAGATAAACAATTCAGGTATTGGAATTAGCAGGGAGGAGTTTAAAATAACTACAATAAATATGTTTAAAAGCCTACAGAAAAATACAAATGTAACGGGAAAAGAAAAAGAGATGAGGAATTTCATACAGTATTTGAAAACTTTTAAAAAATCCCCACAACTAAAAAGCATAATACAATGAGTTAGCAATAGTTGCTACTGTCACGCCAGTTTCAACTCATAGTTGAAAACAGGATGGAAAGCAGAATGAAACTCTGCCTATCCTACACCATCCTCACAGTCTCTGCTGTTTGAGCCCAGTGCTGCCGGCAGCGTGTTCACCTGACTCACAGAGGGTCTTCCTCTTTTCATGATCTCTCCACTTTACCACACACGATGTCCTTCTGCAGGGACTAGTCCCTCCTAATAATAAGGCCAAACTATGTGAGACAAAAGCTCACCTCCTTGCTTCTAAGAGCATTCAGGTTTTGCTTCTTCCAAGACTTATTTAAGGCAAAATAAAAAACATTTCAGATAAATGGCATCTGAGAATATTTACTGCCATGTGACCCACACTATAGGAAATGCTGGGGGAGCGGAGAAGAAATGCTGAAAGTTCTTCAGCTTAAAAGAAACTGATATTCAGATATATAAGAAAGAAGGACACTGGAAATGATAAATATGTAGGTAAATATTGGCTTGAGTAATAACTCAAGTCTATAAAATATAAATTATAGACTTCTTTAAGCCTATAAAATATTTTTAAACTGTTGAAAATAAATAA